GGGGGGGGGGTTGTTTGGTTGTTGCTCTTTTTTGTTTGTTTTGTTTGGTTTTGTTTTTGTTTTGTTTTGTTTATTGTTTTTTGTTGTTGTTTTTTTAAGCTAGGTCTGTCGAGTCTTGCTTAAGGACACACCCTAGTGACTACCCATCTAAATCCCGTGTCATCGACACTTGCTTGACATTATTTGTGGGTCTGAATCCAACCTCTTTTGTCTGGTCAGAACTCACTAGCCACTCGGCCACTGTGTCTTGCTCAAGGACACACCCCAGTGACCGCCCATCTGAACACCGTGTCACCGACACCTGCTAGATATTACTTGTGGGTTCTGAACCTAACTTCATTCCCAAAGGGAAAATATTAACATGTTCTTATGCACAGTAGAATTGTAAATGAGCTGATTTATCAATGTCATGCTCATACTGTGCCGGAACAACATAGGGGGAACTGCTGTTGTTGTTTTTTTTCCTCGTCCTTACTATCGTCATTTTTCCTCTACTTCTTTTGTATGTTTGTCACTCTCTTGTGACCCGCTATTTCCAGGGTGCCTTGATAGTCGAAGCAGGCTTTGTGCTGTTGAGGCTAGAGAGGTAAGCAGAGTAAGTCTGATTCCCTGTTTGGACTTCTCTGTTGACATCCACCCCTTGGCGCTCGTAATATGACCTTATGTAGTTGTGAGCGCTGTAAAACCTTACCAAAAACTAAACTAACGAACCTAACTTGTTTGGTCTGACCTCACTACCCACTCGATTAGTAGAGCTGGGCGAGGATTCAATTCCGGAACCGATTCCTTCGATTAATGCTGCGGAAGAGAAGTTCCGACTCCTTTTTACATATTATACCAACGATTACCAGTTACTGTAATCATTAAAATGTTCTTTTTTAAAAAGAATTCTAAACGTAACAGGGACAGATCAGGGAAACGTAGCTTTTTTTAGAGCTTTCGAGCAAAGGAATGAAAGGAGAACCATGATCGCCGATGTCTGTCGCAGATCTGGCACTGGATGATGATGATTTTTGAAAAATAAAAGTTGATGCTTCGTAATGTTCCGAAATCAAGGTTATCATAAATCCTGAAAATGTTCGGAGCCAATCAGGTTACCACCGGGAGAAATCACATCGTTAGAAAGTAAGTAATTGGGTTCGGAGTCAATTCCAACGATTCCTAGCTTTCACTAATCGGGAACGTAGCCGCCCAGCCCTATCGACCAGTGGAGCCCTCATGTCTCCATGTTCCACGAAAAGGGAATTGAGGACTATGTTAGTTAGTTTATTTGTTGGTTTTGTTTGTTTGTGTGTTTGTTTGAGTGTTTGTTTTTCTATTAATATGTTTGTGTGTTTGTTTATTTGTTTGTTTGTTTGCTTTTGTGTTTGCTTTTCTGTTTGTGTTTGTTTGTTCGTTTTTTATGTGAGTGTTTGTTTATTTGTTTGTTTGCGTGTCTGTTCGTCTGTCTATTTGTTTGTTTAGTTGGTTGTTTAGTTATTTTATTTTTGTTTTGTTCTTGTATAGTTTTGTTTTTTGTTTTCTCCTTGTCACTATGTTGTGGTCATCCCCATCTTTACGCTGCATAAGACCAGAGAGTTTGACAGCAGTACATGTGTAATACTCTTTGATTAGACCAGAGAGTTTGGCAGCAATACATGTGCAATACTCTTTGATTAGACCAGAGAGTTTGACAGCAATACATGTGCAATACTCTTTGATTAGACCAGAGAGTTTGACAGCAATACATGTGAAATACTCTGTGATTAGACCCAACCAAGACACAATACAGGGAAATAATTCTGTACGTTTTTCTTAAATATGTAAAATTATTTGGGTAGCTTCCCCTGATTCAAAATTTCTCCCCCATCACCTGCATAACGATGTACTGTAGTTTATTTATGTCTCTACCTTAGAATACAAAGTTCTGTCCGACATTTTTGGTCGCTTATTTTGAGTTGCTAATTTTATGAGGTCAGAAACCAAATGTTGTACATGTACCTGTTCTATCAAAATCGTTAGATTATTCGGAGTCATATCTCGATATTCAGAGAACAGCATTTGAAAAAGTTTGATCATGAAAAATGTTGTAAAACTCAACATAAAACATCGTGGGTGGTGGTGGGTGCTCTGATGAGGTTTGCTCCTTCTTTCCTATCAAACATCTATCACCCTTATCTCTCCTCTTTTGTGTGTGTGTGTGTGTGT